GAGTAAGCTCAACAGCACCGTTGACAACGTGGTCGACGGCCTCTACACCCAACATGAACGAGTGGTCCTGGTTACCGACCTCGTAGCGCCATGAGCCGAAGCGGCCACGAGACAGGATGTCTTTGGCCTGGAGGGCAGGGAGAAGCTTGGTGAGGACGCCCTCACGCTCGAGGGATGGGGTGGGGTATCCATGGTCGAAGCGGCGGTGGTAGGTGGAGACGATCTCGTCATCCGACTTGATCATCTCGGTGTTGATGAGACCCTGAATGCAGTCCTTGAGCATGTTCTTCTCATCGACGGGCTTCATGCTGGACTCGGAGACCTCCAACATGATGGACCAGTATGGGCCCTCCTTGGGCTCAGTGGAGCTGGGCTTGGAGCCATCTGCCATCTGCTGAGTGGCGAGCTTGACGTCCTTCTGGGGCTGGTTGTATGGCGAGTAGTTGGAGAAGATGGTGGCACGGTAGAATGGGCAGTCATCCTCGGGGAAGTACAACCAGCACTTGTCGCCAATGCGCTCTGGTCGCTCGCCGCGGAGACCAACGCCAATGACGTGGGTGGTGGAGTAGAAGAGACCCTTGCTGAGGTCGATGAGCTCCTTGTCGCCCATGAACTCGACGAGCTGATCGACAGCCATGGTGTTGACGAGCTTCTTGTAGTTGACAACTGTGCCGTCGTTCAGGTGTACCTTGTGGCCGTCGGCATCAACCTTGTTGACCTTGCCGTGGTCACCGTATCTTGTCTTGGAGTCTGGCAGTGTCTTTGCAACAGCCTTCCAGATACCACCGGTACCGTCTCGCGCGGGGAAGCGGAAGGTGGCGTTGGGGCCCCAGTTTCCTGCGGTCTTGTTGTGGATGATGTTGTTGATGACACCCTTGACGTTGGGGGCGGCGACACGCTCTCCAAGCCATTGGCACTGCATCTTGGTGGTGGGCACAGCCCAGACCTTGAAGTTGTATGGTCGCATGAAGAGGTCAGCGATGCCGACACCCATCTGGCGCATGATCCACTCGTCAAAGTCCTTGGGCTTGGTGTTGGCCACGCGGGCCTCGAGTGCGGCGTCAATCAAGCCGTCGACACACTTGGCCTGGTCGTCCTTGTCCAAGATGGACAGGTTGTTCTGGAATGGGTAGGGGACCCAGTTGCGCTTGCAGCGGACGTACGACACACGCTCGTGGGTGAACCAGTCGTCATCGTTGGGGAGGGCCTCGTCGATGCAGTCGTCGAAGTACTTGTAGTGGGAGAAGATGACATGGCCACCAACGTCGTAGAGCTGGGGAGGTGTTAGAGGCGGGCAGTCAATTGGCGGTGGAGGTACTCACGAAGCCCTCTGGAGTGACGTCGGTCGAAGCCAGACCACCAGGCGTCTCATTGGAGTCGACAATCATCCATGAGGGGCCATCCTGTTGTTGTTAGCATGTGCCCCGCCACTTGGACTCTGTGTTGAGCATACAATCTGGTGGAGGCGCTTTGCTGCTCCCAGACCGGTCGGGCCAGCACCGATAACGAGCACGTCGACCGAACTATGGCATTGTCAGCTCGTGCTCAGCAGGATGCCGTGTGGGTGGGCAGGCGGTGAACATACATTTCTTCCTTGGCGGATCCCATCTTGCCCTGTAGTATTTCCTGGAAACTCGGAACGCGCTTCAAAGTCTGGCGGGCGTAGTTGAGCATGTACTCTGCGGGCGAGCAGCACTTGTAGTTATAGAGAGGGTGTGGAGCAGAGGCCAGACGTTTGGGGCGTGGTGAGGAATATAGCTGGCGATAAACTAAGGACGCCAAGGCGATGCTGCGTTAAGTGGGTCCAGGGTAACAGAGGGCCAGCCGCCGAAGGAGTCGGCTGGGGAGAGCTTGGGGGCTTCAGACGGCCGCGCTGCAACGGCGAGAAAAGGGGCAGGCCGCCATGGGGACCGGCGATCGGGCTTGACACAGGCTCACACAGCTGCTCGTGGGCGCCTTGATTGGTGCCGGCCGTCTGCTTCACCACTCGTGCGTGCAACATGTTCATTGCCATTGCCCGTGGCCTCGAGTTGCGTGTGTCACCATGGCCTCTGCACGTTCCCGCGGGTGGAGCCTCAATCTGGCGGGCTGCAGCACATGGTGAAGCTTGACCGACTCTATCTCTGGGGGACTACAGCCTCAGATCAACGACGCGTCGACTTGGTGTCGTGCTAGTGCCACGGTGCAACGACGCCTGTGTGCGAAGTACTCTGCATACCCCTAACGGTGCGCCTCACCCTGCGCTCCAGCGACGCGGCACAGCTCCTGCAATGTAAACCGCTGCGCGTGGCAGCAGCGAGAGTGCGCGATGTGCATGAAGCTGTCACTTTTCTACATATATGTGGGACCGGTGTCTTCGGCGCCTCTCTGCAGGGTGCCAGTACGCGTACACACCTACACAAGCAAGTGCAAGAGGCGGCTCAAAATTTCGGCGCCATTGATGGGAGTCCTCGCCGCTGTGGTCGATTGCGCGTCCACTCAGGGCTCCACGGGCGATCAGTTTCACCTCATCGAGCACTTGCAAAATCCCGCGCGGCTCCTGGCAAATCTTCATCTGGCCTCATATCAGCTCTAGTACATAGTCGGCCGTTGCCCAGTGATAGCACGCCTAAACCAGAACCCCCCCTGTGCACCGGCTCTAGAAGGTCGTCTGGCTGATTCCCGCTCCGCCCCTCCCCTTCCCTAGCGCAGTCGAGGTATTAGTACCGTCACATTTACTGTACAAGTGCTCTCAACACTTCTCGTCGCTCTTTATCTCCTCATTGCTCCAGCGCTGTTACAGCTGCTTCGTGTTGCTTGTGCCACGCTTGTCCCTTGACGCGCAACACCCGCCATCAGTCAGCAGCGCTAGCCCACTGCTACTGCAACCTTGCAACTTGCATTCCCAGCGCCGCAACCACCTCCTTTGACCTTCACTCAACACCTTTACCGTCCCTCGTTAGCCACCACCCGCAAATATGTCCGACGAGAAGATGAGATCCTCGGTCGAGGCCTCGCGCGACACAGCCCTGCCTGTGCTGCCGACCGTCAACCCAGATGCGCAGAAGCCAGCCCCCGAGGCGCCATCTTTCCATCCTGCAGTATACATTGCAACATGGATCTCGCTCAGTTCCAGCACAATTGTCTTCAACAAGTACATCTTAGACACAGCCAAGTTCCGTACGTTCACTCTGCTCCGCCGCACCTCCGCATTCTAACACACCGGCAGACTACCCCATCTTCCTCACAACATGGCATTTGGTTTTTGCGACCGTCATGACCCAGATCCTCGCTCGCTTCACCACCGTCCTCGACTCCCGGAAAAAGGTGCCCATGACCGGACGCGTATACCTGCGAGCCATCGTCCCCATCGGTATCTTCTTCAGTATGAGCTTGATCTGCGGTAACCAGGCATATCTGTACCTGAGTGTGGCTTTCATTCAGATGCTGAAGGTATGTTATCCACGAATACGGACTTGTAGCAGCTACTGACCTCAACAGGCTACTATGCCCGTCGCTGTCCTCATCACCACATGGAGTCTCGGAGTTGCGCCTGTCAACCTCAAGACTCTCGGAAACGTCTCCTTCATCGTCATCGGTGTAGTCATTGCCTCGTTGGGAGAGATCAAGTTCGTCATGGTCGGTTTCCTCTTCCAGGCTGCTGGTATCGTCTTCGAGGCTGTCCGTCTGGTCATGGTTCAGCGCCTTCTCAGCGGTGCCGACTTCAAGATGGACCCGCTCGTCTCCCTCTACTACTACGCCCCTGCTTGCGCCTTCATCAACGGTGTCATTCTCATGTTCACTGAGCTCCCCAAGATGTCTATGGCTGACATCGACCGCGTTGGTCTGACCACTCTGCTGGCCAACGCATCCGTCGCTTTCTTGCTCAACGTCTCCGTTGTTTTCCTGGTACGTTCCTTCTACACAGTCCACAAACATTCACTAACACATCTTCAGATTGGCAAGACCTCCTCGCTCGTCCTTACCCTCTCCGGTGTACTCAAGGACATCCTCCTTGTCTTTGCGTCCATGTTCCTTTTCAAGGACCCCGTCTCTCCTCTCCAGGCTTTCGGTTACGCCATCGCGCTTGGCGGTCTCGTCTACTACAAGCTCGGCGGAGAGAAGCTGAAGGAGTACCTCGGCCAGGGCAGCATGAAGTGGCAAGAGTTTGGCCACACCCGCCCCGTGCTTCGCAAGTTGATGGTCTTCGCCGCCGTCATCATTGGCATGTTCCTGGTCCTTGGCTCTCTCGGACCCCGCTACGCCCCCGACTCGACCAACCAGGTCTACAACGGCATCGGCAAGCTCATTGGCGACAAGGCTGTATGAAGAACTGGTTCCTTCTAAGATCGGTCTTCGCCATTTTCTAGCTGGGAGTAGGCCTACTTGCAGTACGCTGGTCTACCTCGATTTCCCTTCCCCCTTGTCGTTTTATCTGTAGCTTGGAGCGGGCTTGGAGTGTACGGTGACCGGTGTTTATACGCATAGACGAGCAGGAGCTTTCATGCCGACGGAGCCTTCTTTGATGCTTTTTGTGGTTCGGTACGCGACTGGTGTCAATCGCATGTCAGGGAGCAATGACAGGAAATGATTAAGTAACACGTTTTTGGCACATAGATCTTGCAGGCATTCACAGAACTGCGAGCGAAAGTATATACTTGTAGCTATATAATTGGTAATGCCGTGGAGCATCCGATGCATTTCTTCTACTGCACTTGTGATGTATTTGAAGACGGATAACAAGGGCAAACAATAATAAAGCAGATACGGCTACTAGGATGAGATTGCATATAGAATACGCTCACGTACGTGGACAATAATTATCGATTGTGATGCTCTATGTCGTCGTGCTGTGATGCATGCGCGGCCTTCGCTCCTGCCGAGTGGAGTTCTGGAGTTCTCGCTTCGCACGGGCCACACCACGCCAAGCTGCCCTTTCCTGCCAAATTCGAATCGCGAACTTCAGCTTCCTCCCTCAGTCGTTACTAACCCACAGCACAACACGCTCAAAATCAGTCAAGATGGGAATCGACCTCGACCGCCACCATGTTCGAGACGGGCACCGCAGTATGTGATCCCCCGTCGAGTCGGCGCAGCAATGCGCTGGCGACAGCTGTCTTTTAGACGCAACATGAAGCCTTCGAAGGAGAGAGATTGACGAGTATACAGAGGTCCCTAAGTCCACCAACCCCTACGTCAGGCTGTTGGTGCGCCTTTACAAGTTCCTGGCTCGTAAGTACTTCACCGGACAAATGCGCACATTGTTTGTGCTAACAGTGAACAGGCCGTACCGATGCCAACTTCAACAAGACCGTTCTGCGACGCCTCATGATGTCGAAGACCAACCGTCCCGTAAGACGAACGATCGCATATTCGACAGAACAGAGTAACTAACACAGTCCAGCCGGTCTCTGTTTCCAAGATCGTCGCGAACGCCGCCAACAAGCACTCCGCCAAGGAGCACGCCGGCAAGACCGTCGTTGTTGTACGTCAAGCGACACGCATAGCGAAGATCAACGGCTAACATATTGTCAGGTCGGTACCGTCACTGACGACAACCGCATGCTCGAGGTCCCCAAGCTCTCCGTTGCGGCTCTCCGCTTCACCGCCTCTGCCCGCGCCCGCATCGAGAAGGCCGGTGGTGAGTGCCTCACCATCGACGAGGTCGCTACCCGCTTCCCCACTGGATCCAACACCCTCCTCCTCCGTGGACCCAAGAACGCCCGTGAGGCCTTCAAGCATTTCGGCTTTGGTCCCCACTCCCACAAGAAGCCTTACGTCGAGAGCAAGGGCCGCAAGTTCGAGCGTGCCCGTGGACGCAGAAGGTCGCGTGGTTTCAAGGTTTAAGCGTGTGCTTACAGCACTCTTGGTTTCTCTGGGTTGGCGTGGTCATGGTCATGGGAATTCTTACGAGGCGCGCTTCATGACTGGCAAAGGCTCTTCGAAAGCCTGCAAAAAGATACTCAATGCTCAACATGAAATGAAAGCATACACATGGGCTCTCCCGAGCTCATGGTTAAATCATGAACAACCATCTTCTATGAACGTGCATGTCGTCACTATTCAACTGTCGGTATGAGCATTCGTGAATTTCACATGCAGGATAATTTGCCCGCAACAGGTAATACTGTATAGCGATGTTGAACGACGAAGTTTTTCGCGTGCTAAATTTTCTGCGGCTCCCCCACATTCAGCCAACCAGCGCTAGCCAATCTAAACCACCCGACGTAATACCCCGACTAGTCACTGCATCACTTGAATGACTTGACATTGACAACAACTCTGGCAAAATGGTCGACAGTCGAAAAGTAGGAGTGCTAGGCGGCGGCCAACTGGGCCGTATGCTAATCGAGGCTGCCAACCGATTGAACGTTCAAGTCAATGTCCTGGACGTCGGGGCATCACCAGCAAAGCAGATATCAGCGCACGACGGCCATATCGAGGGATCTTTCAAGGATGCAGCGGCTGTAAAGAAACTCGCAGAATCATCCGATGTCGTCACTGTCGAGATCGAACATGTTGATACCCATATGCTCGAAGAGGTAGCGGGGCAGGTCGTTGTTGAACCCAGCTGGAAAACACTACGGACCATCAAAGACAAATACGCCCAAAAGCAATACCTGAAAGAGCATGGAGTGGATGTCGCAGATAGCATCGATCTCGAAGGAAAGGGTGTTGCGGGATTGAAGGAAGTAGGTTCGTCATATGGCTATCCGTTCATGCTCAAGAGCAAGACAGAGGCGTATGACGGCAAGGGCAACTTTGTGGTGAAGACGGAGGCGGACGTTGATGCAGCATTTGAGGCCTTAGGAAAGAGGCCGTTGTATGCAGAGCGCTGGGCGGACTTCAGGATGGAGCTCGCAGTCATGGTCGTCAAGACAAAGGACGGCGTGCTCACATTCCCCACTGTCGAGACTGTTCACGAGGACAGCATCTGCAAGCTTACATACGCGCCGCCCAGGAACGTAGCAGAGGAGACGACACAACGAGCGCAGGAACTCGCCAAGAAAGCGATCGGTGCTTTCGAAGGCAAGGGTGTTTTCGGTGTTGAGATGTTCTTGCTCAAAGACGACAGCCTGCTCATCAACGAGATTGCGCCTCGTCCGCACAACTCGGGACATTACACCATCGAAGCCTGCCCCATCTCACAATACGATGCGCATCTCCGAGCCATCCTCGACCTACCCATCTCCCAGTCTAGCCTCCGCCTCCGCGAACCCTCCATTATGCTGAACATCCTTGGCGGCAAGACGCCAGACTCCCACGTCCAAGTCGCGAAGAGGGCTCTTGAGTCACCAAATGCATCAATTCACCTCTACGGAAAAGGCGATGCGCGTCCCGGCCGCAAGATGGGGCACATCACCCTCACAGCCCCCACACTCGCAGCCGCAGAACGCGAGATCCAGCCCCTCGTCGACTTTGTCGACGCTCAAAAGGGAAAGACCGTCGAATCACGCAGCTCAAAAAGCTCCACAGAAGAGCCTCTCGTCGCTGTAATCATGGGCTCAGACTCCGATCTCCCCGTCCTCCGCGCCGGTCTGGAGATCCTCACTAAACTGCAAATCCCCTTCACCACGCGCATCACTAGCGCCCACCGCACCCCCGACTGGCTCCGCGAGTTCTCCAAGACCGCTTCTCAGACGTCTCTGAAAGTCATCATCGGCGCTGCGGGTGGCGCTGCCCATCTACCCGGTATGTGTGCGTCGTGGACCACACTTCCGGTGATTGGTCTGCCCGTCAAGGCGAGTGTGATGGATGGCTGGGATAGTCTTGTCAGCATGACTCAGATGCCGCGTGGCGAGCCTGTTGCTACTGTTGGTATCAATAACTCGACCAATGCTGCGCTGCTTGCTGTGCGTATCCTTGGCGCGGAGGATAAGACGATTCGCGAGAGGTTGAGAGTTTGGATGGAGGGGAATGAGAAGGAGGTTATGCGCAAGGATAAGGCGTTGTTGGAGGATGGGTGGGAGGCTTATCTCAAGGGTATGGGAAAATAGACGGTGATGGGAAGGTGGTGGACTGAGGGGCTGAGGAAGCATGTGATGTGTTTGTGGAAACTGAGTGGTGGGATATGCAGGGAGTAGAACACCTCTTTCTGGTCGAGGAAATGTCATTTCCCTCCATCGATGTCTTGAATGCAATGAACATGCGATGTTACGGAAGTCGTTTCATATCGAAGCTCATTACGATGACGATCATCATCATCACACTTCATTCCAAGCTCAACAGCGACCGCCTCTCGACCAAAACATGAGAGCATCCCTGACTCGTTTTGGTACCATGCGCTCCCCGCTGGCTCTGTCGTAAGAACATGACCAGTTCCAACATGCTCTCCTCACACGAAGACATTTCCTCATCCGCTGTGCCATTTGAACACATCAGAAACATCTGCATGTCTTTTGGAACACACCGCGAGCCCACGTTCATGTTGAGAACAGAACGCCATTTTTGTAGAATGGCTTTGGAATGTGCGGATAAGAGAAGAAGGAAGAGCAAAAAGCGCAAATTCAGTAGCTGAGGCGAGGAGAGTGACAGCACATCGATTTGCGGATCCATTCTTTTGGACAGCTTCTCTTCCTCTCCACATAACGGTTCTGGCTTTTCTATTTTGAGAGTAGCTCTTCAAAGAACAGAGGCGAGGGGATAGCGACATACCGGCTGGCGGAACCGCTTTCAAACTACAAAGCTTCGGTATCTTACCTGGTCAGACATGATCTGTCCGCTGGGAGTTTTTGGAAGTAAGATTGAACACATGAATAACTCATGTATATTAATATGGGAGAAGGCGGAGGAAAGAGGAGGACCATATGCTTATCTCTTTCAAGTTTTGGTGAGGAACGAAGCAAGTGTTGTGTGTAGGAAGAAAGAAGGTAGGAAAGGAAGAGGCGGCTTTATATGCGTCCAGAGTCGTCCGGAGGGCGCACTCATCGCGAGGAACCGACATGTTTTGAACCAGGAAGCACGGTCTTTCCATGTTCTGCTGCTTCAGCACTTTTTGAATGCCGCCGTATATGTTTAAAATCGGTACATGAGGTTTCTCATTCCGTGGCTAGAGAAGCGGCGAGACGACAGGCGCATCAATTGGTAATTGGTGTTTTTGGAAAGGGGAAGACGCGGGAATAGCACGTCCGTGACGTATTTTTGAAGAATCGTATACAAGCTTGGTATGATAGAAGGAAGGCAGAGGTGGCAGACTACAGATATTTATATACGTGTCTTCCTATGCGGACGGAGACATGTCGTACTCTAGAAGGCTTTTTATGCCGCGTTTTTTGCTCCCATTCGTCAACATCTCCATCATCAGTCATCGTCGATTCTTTGGATGTTTTATAGCCGCGAGTTTTGAGCAAAACGCGGCATGTTTTGTATCGAGTCAACTTTTCTTTTCGAGAGGCTTAGAAGGAGGGATTCGCATGAACCGATGAGCAGTACGATTTTTGTGACACAATCACATGTAATGATATATTGGCCGTTTTTGAAATAGGAGGAGAAGGAAGACAGCAAACTCGCATAGATCATTGACAACGTCATTTTGGAAAAATGCTGGAGGAAGGTGCTGAGTAGGAAGTAAGACAAAGTGGAGAAGTGGCACTTTATATACCTCCATTGAAAGCACTGCACAGACGTCTGTGGGGAGCGAGTCTCGCTTTTATACCCCTCATCGATTTTTGACGTTGGGTTTTCAAAGGCTTTCTGGTGAGACTGATGATGTGCGATGTGCGAGCTTTAAAAACGTCAATTCCAAGTGTTGAACCTTCGAGGACTCAAAGGTCAGTGTAGATAGCCCGATGTTCCAGACAGCCCTACATGGCGCTTACCCTCCTCTTAACAGCCATACTATATCGAGATCATAGCTTCCTCTATACTCGCAAATGGTTCGTTCCATCCGGAGTCGCCAGTCCAGTTCTCTCACCCGTTGCTCCGCTATTCCGCGCACGTATGTCCGCACGATCTCGAGTCGCTTTAAGCCAAGGAGCCCACTGAACCAAGTCCCTTTGCCGCCTGAAGGGGCACTTACTAAAGCATCCATCTCATAATCGCGTAGCTGAATTGTTCGAACTGCCAGCATTTGTGCGGATGTGCGAAACATATACGCTTCGGGATTCAACATTGAGCCCTTTAATACAAAGGTGTTGAGTTGGTACACTAAGGTAGCTGTCTCGTTGTAGATCTGGCGGCAGGTCTCGGGGAGGTGTAGCGCTGATTCGAGTGGCATGTAGCTTGTTCGTTCCTTGGGGCCCGCGTAGGTGTATGCCCATCCATGTGATCCAGGAAATTCGGGCGAGGAGTTGGCGCGCAAGTGCAGGGCGATGTAGGGATTGCTTAACGTGTACTGTGGAGATAGAGAGGCGATGTCAGAGAATATCACAGACAGATTGTGTGTATCCAGGTCTTACCTCCCATATCTGATTCCGGAGTTCGCCAGGGAGTTGTAAAAGGCGAGAGGTTGTCGTGTTACGATGAGCACTGCTTGCGTCAGTAATGTGGTAAAACTCAAAGCGGAGAAATACTGACATTGCGGCAATATGTTCAGACATGTGCGTGACATCTACCAGCCCACTTGCTAGGATGACTGCCTTGCTGCTGTTGTTTTGCTGTAGCGACATTGACGCAGAATTACCGGGTTCTGGATGATGTTCCATGTTGAAGCGTTGGAGCGTTGGAGCGCGATAAAGGTGGAAATGCGATAGCCCGAAATGTGATTTTCGAGGTTGATTGCAGTTTTGTCGATAGAGCTTGTATGGTGGGGTGGATCAACTGAGCAGCGGTCTGCAATATACTTGACCTGAAAGGAGAGCGCCCATTTCACTTGCTCGTGTAATCGGTGCGCCGTTAGTGCCCAAGGCTCCTGTTTCTATTTTGTTCCTGTTTCATTGATCTGTTCCGGTAGCGACTGTTGTTCGATTCTGTATCCATTACATTTTAGCTACCATGTGCTCATGACAGAGCCTCTTCTTCCAAACCCTATGGAATTGTTGTCTTCGGAGCCTCATATGACGTTAAAAATTGACGTAGCGAGCTCGAGTATCGAGGCTCACAAGCATAGCGATCTTTTGCAGCTATCGAAAGCGCCAGCTGCTCTATAGATCATTTCCAACTGAAAGTCAGCCAAGGTCTGCCCTCTCGCTCCCGTATCCGCTGCTCCAGTAGCCTACGGTAAAACTCGGCTCCTTTCATTGTGCGGGTTTCCTCGTCCTCTGGATCAAGGTGGTCGAAATCGTGCAAGCCGTCCGCAGTGCGGGGAGCGAGTTCCAAAAGTACCAGACGTGGGAACGATTCAGTGAGATAACCACTTTTAGAATGGGGTACTTTATTGAAGATTTGACCATCGATGGAGGTTCGATATCTTAATCTGAAGTGCCACAAGCCTGCGTTGGATATACGGAGGGATTGAATGTTTCGTAGATACGCGTGATCGGAGACCCATCGAGCCTGGTAAAATTGAGGAATCTTGAAAGTTGTGAGGGCGAAGATCAGCAACCGGGTCTCCGCGTGGATCTGCCTCGAGGTCGCTGGTAGGCGGAGGGCAACATCTTTTGCGGGGGTGCCATCATCGTTCAACGGGATCCCATGGTGCTTGGAATGTGCTCCGCTCCTGCGAATGCGATATCTGATTTTTACATAGGCGCAACTCATGGAGTATTCCCAGATCTGGATTCGGAGTTCGGCTGGTAAGCGTAGTAAAGGTGAAACGGATGCGTTGCGTTGTGAGCTGTTCAGTTAGCAATGCCCGACTGCAGTGAGTTGATATCTTACATGGCTAGCTTGTCTTCCGGCACCGGCATCGGGGCAGGCTCTCCATCGCCTTGATGCAAAGAAGACGATTGGTTCTCTGACTGCACGCGCATCTGGTTTTCGTTGGTCACCTGCATCGTCATTCCGTGGCTATGTGTTCGCGAGCGGTTAGGTAGCCTTCAGGCGTCGTTGTCGCGTAATGGGGAAGCTGCGATATTGCGAATTTGTAGATGTAGAGCTCTAGCAGGTGTTTGCCGTTGGTTTCTAGAGAGTTTTCGGTACATAAGCTGAGTGGTATAGGGAAATCGGCAAGCTTAAATCGTGTGCTAGCTCCAAAGGTGTACTTTGGTTGAGAGATCCGAGGTTTTGCCCGGAACCAACCGAAGCTGAGGCTTACCATCAAAACGCTTCGGGGTAGGTGTATATGTGTGATGCTCTAGGTATCTTGTCCGGGAGTCGCCTCTTTGTCGTTCTCTTCCCTAGACTTCGCCTCTGTACTTCCCTCTTCCTCTGCATCCTCGTCACTCTTCTTCAGATAAACCACCATCCCATTCAGCGCATTCCCATGCTTTTCAAACTCTCTTAGCGCCACCTTTTCCCTGCCTTTTATCCACTTCTTGCCCACCTCATTGCACTCCTCCAATCGCTCTTTCTTCTCCTTCGTTTGCGCATACACACTATAGTCATCCAGAATCTCGTTGCCTACATACAACACCGGGTCTTTCGATTTGAGGAAAGTTGGTAGGAGAAGGAACCAGTCAACGAAGGGCGAGTAGACAAAGGATTTGGACGTAATGTGGGTCTGGAGATCGGAGTCAAGGACCGTGATGGAGAGGTGCGATAGAAATTCGATGTCGAAAGGTGTGAAGGCTGGATCTTGGGCGAAACACTGTATCTTGAGGTCCTTATTTTCGTCTTTAACTATCCTGTAATCAGTTCGGGTACATGCAAGAGATAGAGACGATGACATACGTCGCCCGACTACATCGACAAACAGTACAAGCTGCCAGAGACTCCTCCATCTATGCGCCCAGTCTCGACTGAAACTGCCGATGCCAATGCATGCCGCTTCTTCAACACCCCATTTGCCATCAGCGCTTCTCGTCTCGACAATCTCTTCAACTTGTTTCGCGAGCAGCGTATCTTCCCACCGCTCTTGAAGCAGGCGAAAATCGTCCAACAGTTTCTCTGCCGTCAAACCCTCTACTATTTTGGTAGGCAAGGACCCAGCATCCGCCTCCTTCCCTTTGCCATCGAGCGAAATACTCGCCAAGCCATGGGTAATGACGGTCCATCCATCATCACTTTGCACCTCCTTCCTCTTAACGCGGCCTCTTCCTTTCTTACTCATCTCTTCTCTACCTCTTCACACACCACTCTTAGCTATCAGTCTTGGCAAAAACCAAAGCGCATACTCCCTTCACCACAAGCGCACCTCAAACCCACAATGACGCACACCGCACAAAAAAGGTACACCGATCGTCACGTCGTCGACTTAAGGTGCGGCTTGCATGGGCGCGTAAGTAAGGCGTGGCCAAAGTATCGAGGGCGAGGCGATGACGGGGAAGGGACCACCTGGGCGCGTAGAAAATCATCGTGAGAGGCCAGGGTCTGGTTGGGTTTTAGTGGGGAAAGGGAGGCTCGGAACGGGATTTCCGAGGCGGAATGGCGGCGACCTTGGCTGTGGCCCGCAGACTACAGTAAAAACCGAGTGGGAACTGTGCCTCCCTTGATTAGGGGTCTGCTATCTAGCCTGCAGCTGTAGTTCAAGCCATCCGCTCATGTCGGGGTTGCGCATGCGGATCAGGCCTCCTGCTGACGGCTTATATACACAAGCTATTCTTTGTTGCAGTCGGTATAAGCATGACAGCATATAGCTTACAAGTAAGCGACTAGTGGAAATGCAAGTATTGGGATTATGAATGGTATTGTATGTGTAGCTTCTGTACATCATACCGCACAGTAACGTGTTATGTGCCCCTAAGAAAGACCGTCATAGCTGCTGCACAGCTGGTCCACCAACCACCCAGATCAAACCACCGCGTACGCTCCAAATCGAGATCGTCGCTTCAAAAGAGACCGGATATCTTTCGCGCCAAAACTCCTTGCCCATAAAAAGACTACATTCGCAGATCAAAGTCAGGTTCGTGCACTAGACGACCCATGTGATCCACGACGCCGCTGCAAGCATTGCCGGCACTATGATCGATGCATAGGTGTTGACGACCATGTTGTGTGGCGCTGGCGATGATGTTGTCGAGTATACGATTTGGAAGCCAATGTGGTCGTCGACGTTTGTTGTGTTAACGCAGTTTGAGCTGTTGACTTCGGGAACATCCTCTGGTTCGGCGAAAGTGATGTCGGCACACTATTGGAATCTATTAGCAACTATACGGCTGCTATGGTCAGACGCTTGCACTCACGTTGTAAAGAGCAGCGCCGTGTTGCGCAAGCTCAATAATCTGGATAGTCGCATTGTCTCCAACCTGGGGTGTGTAGTTGGCAGGTAATGGGACTTGCGGTAGACAGAAGGAACCGGGGTATTCTTGGTTTGTAGGCCCTGTAATCTGGAAGACTGGGACCATCGTGTGCGAGTAGTTTAGCGGTTCGTTGCCGTAACCCATGTTGACGTAGAACATGGCGAGCGAGTGGCCTGGGAACCATCCGGGTTGGATTGCGACAGCGCCACCGTTAACCGGCCACTTTGTGCGATTTTGCGACATTGGCATGCCACCACCTAGAAGTTCATGTTAGTTATCTTCTCCTGCACGGAATACCCAATCGGGAAAACGTACATGGGTACATCCATTGCATGCCGTATGGAAATCCATATGTGCCGGTGTCTTCGTGGTAGTTGATACCGATCGAGCCATCTGGAATCGATGGGTCTGTGTCAGACTTGGTTCCGTTGGTGTGGATGTTGTTTCCTCTCCATCCTGGGTAGACGATAACGGTATGTGCAGTAGCGAGCGACCAGGTAGCGGCGATAAAAACGAGCTCGGTAAAACGAAACATTTTGGCGGTGCGATGTGGAAAGCAAAGACTGTTGCGTAGCGGAAGTCCTTGTCTTTAACGATTCAGTGACCCGTCAGCTTTGGGGTACACGATTTGATGGTAGTCGACGCAGAACGGGCAGCGTGCGGTGGCGGGGGGCATCAGCACTTATGGAGTACGGACTTGGCCTCGAGGGCCTCGTGCAACCATGGCATTGCTCGCCAAAGAGACGCTTCAGGCGAATGAACAGAGCAAAACGGGCCCGCCAGCATGGCCAGCCTTTGCATGTCAGCCCTCGAAGCATTGAGTAGGCAGCGAATAGGCACGTCGCTAGCATATTGAATCTACAGGGGCCAGCGACCACTGAGCTTCGCGTATGCAGGTCTTGTCGGGCGGGAGGGAAAGCCTCTGTCGGCGGAGCGAATAGCGTCCGAGGTGGCCATGCGCATGGCGCTTCTGATTTGCAGAGGCGTGTGATGACTTTGCAGAGTCTCGGCAGTCCGGCCAGGCACCTCTAAGCGCCCAACTACTCCAGAGTCCACATGCCCACCAGCAGACAGCGAGGAAGGTTTCCGGATCTGAAAAATGCCCTCATCCGCGCGACTCGGCCGTGATAGTGTGACCAAGGCGTGATGCAGAATCTTGAAACGCCGCAGCTACACCGCGTAGGCGACGTCTGTGTTCGTGGGAGAAGAATGCTGAAAGACGCAGACAATCGCGCGCACAGTCAGCTAGCCGCCACTGGCCCCCAACGAACGGCGATCAACGCCCTCGCCGCAATATAATCCCCAGCCGTCAACATGCGCATGTTTCTATCCTCATATCGCTGCATGAAGGCTGCAGTGCGACAGCTGGGGAAGGCCGAGTGTCGAGGATGCTGATTGGGAGCTTGTTTCGCCGCCCCTGGTCGCTTGGAAGTGTCCGCTGCGCCGGGACGAACGAAGCCTCCATTCGCAATAACCAATTGCTTGAAAAGGCATCTCTTCTGGGCCCGCGTCGTGCCGAGCGCACCAGCACACCATCCGCGCAGTGCCATCTTTCCTGCGGTTCGCTGCTAGTGCCTGTCTGTACGGCGCGAGGTACCGCATTCGTACTCCCCTTGCTTGAGTCAAACGAACATCTTTGCGCACTGGAGTTAGCAGCGAACAAGCATCGCTTTAGCCAAGCGCCATGAGATTGTCGATCGTGTTGGACGCAGGGTGCACGGGTTCGTTGATTCTGGCGTCCTGGATAGCGGTTGCGTGAGGTACGACCGCAGTTGATGCTGCCAGGTGTGGTGCCATGAGCGCCTTCCTCGAGCACTGAGAGACCACGGCCACCTTCCTGCGATGGGGCTTCTTGCCTCGTCACTCAAGTCATGCCTTCCAATATCGCAGGTGTAAACAGTATACACCTTACAGGTCCTTTCGGGCTCTGCTTGTCACCAACCGTCCTGCATCGATATTCTTCGATGACCGCGGCGTTCATCGAACATTATTACTCAATTCGATTTTAACTTCGATCACCACCCGACACCAGAGCTACTGACATGTTGTCGCTTGTCCCAGCGCGGAAGAGAAAGGAAGCCCATAACGCGATACAACTATCTCGTGATAAAGGCAAGGTCCGCGTCATCGAGCGATCAGCAGAAGGGTACTCCAGCGGCTCCACGAAGAACCTGCAGGGGCGCAACAGCACCCCTGCTAGCCGTACCTTTACTACACTTCGTCGTGGAAGCATCAGAATCTTCTCAATCTTCCGCAATGGCAAGAGTTGCTACCCATTTCTGCCTGGTACCTCTTGGCTTCTACTGATAGTACCAACAGGTTCCGCTCCCAGCTCCGGCGAGGCTACCTTTGGTAGCACTGGGTCAACGGTCAACAAACTAGCAGACGTACCACGTGTCGATAACATCAATTCCTACTCCAACTCTCCGCTACAATGCCCTGTCGTTCCCGATGTACCTATGACTCTACCAGCTCTCTCCCTAGATCCGGACTCTTCATCGTTACTCCAACTCACAAACGCTGCCGTCTTCGATGGCGAATCAGAACCTATACCAAGAACCCGCACTCCGCCTCCTACACCCATGACAACAAGCTGGTCGACACCAAGTCTCTCCCAGCAACTCACCGCCAAGATCTCCAACGCCCTAATGAACAACGATACGGTGGTGCGTCGACCCAAGCTGAGCTCTCGGCCAATGGTTCGAACAGACCATTTCAAACATCCAAGCGATGACCAGCGAACTACCACCTCGCCCAAAAGCGCCATGTCAGAGGTCCCTTCGCTTCCATCAAGTGTCCTGAGCCCGTCCAGCAGCGTCGCACCGCTGAGCCAGTCCACTGCACCGACATCGTTGGTCTCATCAGGCGCGCCGCTATCTGCTGAAACCACGTACCGAAGTCAGAACGGTCGCCATATAACCGACAATCAACCTGCGCTCTATTGTGAGGCGACCCCAGAACGTTTGCCTCCAAGATTCCTTGTCTTTCCACGTCAAGACGCTCCGCGACTGTGTGAGCCTTCCGTTGCGACTATTGAGAATGCAGCAGCGGCGAAGATCTTCTTCGAGTCACACTTCAATCAGCTTCTCGGTACCAAGGTTACACCACGATCTATGCGTCGCCGCCAAATGGAGCGGAAGGTATTCACCATGGCCATACCGAACGAGCAACGTCACTCCAAAAGGCGAGAATAGTATCTTGCAGAGACACATCATCTGCGTCAAACCCGTGTCATGAAGTCGAATACTATAGCGCGTCAGACGATGAAAGGCGTGCACATCTCCAATTACGACATCGTAAGAGTCCTCGGGAAAGGTAGCTTCGGTGTTGTGCGTCTCGTTCGCGAGAAGAGTGACAATTGCGGCAGTCTACGCGGAAGCAGCTGCAGTATGGGATACCTCGATGGCTCATTGACGCCAAAAACTGATAGGCCTTCCCCGACCATCCGTAGACAAAAGCAAGTCTTCGCCATGAAGGTCATCAGAAAGTCGGATATGCTTCGCAATAGCCAAGAGGGACATTTGCGAGCAGAGCGAGACTTTCTAGTCGCGTCGGAGAACTCGCGATGGGTGGTTCCCCTCATTTCTGCTTTCCAGGACAACAACAATCTCTATCTCGTTATGGAATACATGATGGGCGGCGACTTCCTGGGCCTCCTTCTTCGCGAAGACATCCTCGATGAAAACGTCGCGAAGTGGTATCTCGCAGAGATGATACTGTGCATCGAGGAGGCACACAAGATGAACTGGATCCATCGCGATGTCAAGCCCGACAACTTCTTGATCACGTCGTCTGGCCATCTCAAGATCTCCGACTTTGGCCTCGCCTTTGATGGACATTGGGCTCACAACCAGACGTACTACAACGAGCAACGATACGGTCTACTCCGCGACTTGGATCTACATGTCATAGGCGACGCACAAGACGTCGAAGAAGACAAGGATCGATCAGACGCTCGCAAGACCATGAATCTCGTCAATGGGAGTGCAGCGGCCCGCGGTCGTTACCATACCAGACAAGACTCAACGCATGGACCCATCATCGACTGGTTAAACCGAGAGCAGAGGCGTGAATTTGCCAAGAGTGTCGTTGGGACGAGCCAATATATGGCACCAGAGGTCATACGAGGAGAAAGCTACGACGGTCGCTGTGACTGGTGGAGCATTGGTATCATATTATACGAGGTATGTGGGCATGAGATGTTGTACGTGTTTACACTGACAACTTCGTAGTGTCTTTACGGTTGTACACCCTTCTTCTGCGATAACCGCCAAGCTACGAAGATGCGCATACTTGTATGTTTGACTATGATAAGCCGCGTTCTGGTGCTAACTCGTGCAGGATCATAGGAGGTGGCTGCGATTCCCATCTGATCAACGTTATGCCCGTCCCAACATCGACCGCGTCCCACTCATGCCAGTTTCACGCAACGCAATCGACCTCATGATGCGACTGCTCGAGGACAGACAAGATCGTCTCTCAGCTAAGCGATACCGTGAGAACGACTGGGTCCTCCGCGACAAAGCTGCTGGTGCGCGCCGCAATCGTAACGTCAACACCACCGGTCATATTGTTTACCCCAACGACGCCGAAGACATTAAGTCGCACCCGTTCTTCCGCAACATTCAGTGGTCACAACTGCATCTGACTCGTCCACCATTCGTACCACGCGTTCACGGCGGTCAGCCAATCACCAAATACTTCGACGATGAGGCCGAGATCATGAGCGCGTCTGATCATCTCGACTCTTCAAGCTACGAAGCTCTCGGGGGGCTGGCAGACCCTGCGGTAGAAGTTCAAGATGGTGAGGATGATGTCATGTCCCCGGTCCCGCCGACTACCCAGCATGATGGTGCAGCTACGCCCGCTCAAGAAGGGTTCGCTAAGTCATTGCGAGACATGAAGAGACGCAAACGAGAAAAGAAACGACCGCGCGACAAGCTTCTTCGAGATCCAGATGTCAGCCAAACTGTTCTGGAGATCAGGAAGAAAGGTGCTTTCGTGGGCTACACTTATCGCAGGCCTAGGTTCTCATTGCTAGACTTGGAAGACAAGATCGCTGCAAGACCTCACATCACACGCGGTGGGATAGTTGCTGCGAGTGCTTAGTGATGTAGATTCTTTGTGCTCTCTGCGGAGGGTAAGGCTTTTTCGAAATGGATTGTTAAGCTCTTGAGCCCATCGGGATGCGCATGGTCCTGTAATTGCTGTTCGATTATCACTAGAAGATGTAATCTCTCTCACCTTGACCGCCATCTCAGTCTCCCACCTCAGCGGTCAGCATCACATTGAAGATACTACTAGCGCCGTCTGGAGCACAGGTGAGATCTATATCATGGTCGTCTTTCTCAGTAACAAACCTTCCTACACCACACTTTCCGTCTCAGCCTTATCACACAACGATTACAATCAATTAAATACTTCACATATCCCCATCATGATGCTCTCCAGAGCCATTCTGCTATGCCTTACCGCGCTCACCAGCATGGCCGTCGGTACAGCCCCCGCAAGAGAGTCCAACGACCCGATGCCAGACTTTCTCAGCCACAAGGACAAGCCCAAACCCGTCGACAAGCCCACTCTCAATCCTCCAGTCTTGGACGTGAGCGAGTACCTGGTCAAACAGCTGGCGCACCCGACAGTAAACGAGGTCAAAATGTGGAACGACAGCAAGATTAACTACGCGTGCAAGAAGATATTTACTAAAGAAGGCTACGAAGTCGAGGCTATTGAGATGTTCGAGGTTACGTATGAAGATGTGAGTTTGAAATGATGTCTGTTGTTGTTAAATGACGATGTGCTAACGAGTCTGCAGTGCGACGAGACACCATGGGTCATGTGCCGCCACAAAGACGCCTGGTATCAACCTGACCTCATGGAATTCTACATCGGCCTGATTCCCGTCAACATGCGTCGATTCAACCGCCACTTCATCGCGCTGCCGGCCGACGACAAAGGTGGCCGGGATGCTTACAATGACTACGACACCATAGTCTGGAAAGGGCAAGCCAGTCTGCACAGTATCATCGCCGAATCCGCAAAGTCATTGGGCCAGTATGTAGGCGGAGGCTTTCCAATATGGAGTAAGTCACCTCGCGCTCTCCACCATCACTCTTTTTGCTTCTACTGACCACTCGCTATAGGTTCTGGTACTCTCGCTTGGTCCGATCAGACGTGGGCTGACCTCGTTGAGCACAACGCCACAGCAGTGATGAACCCTACGTCTCAGATTTCTCTCGAAGAGGCATTCGCTCAGACTATGGTGCTTGCCATTGCGGAGATGCAGGACGTACCTTTGGGTGCTTTCATCCCCGAGTATAAGAAGATTTCGGTGTTGGTCACCAGCTTGTGGGAGAGCTTCATGTGGGTCTTACTTGTTAGTAACCTGTTATTTTGCCATGAGAGGATTTTGGAGGATAGCCCTGTGGGTTTGCCGGGACAGCTGCCAGACATTAAGGTCTAGATCGGCATGCCTGATGGATCTGGTGGTAGCTAGGGAATGATTGAGTCGGCTTCACAAATGGGTCAAGTCAAGGCTGAGCTTGGAAGGAAATCGGGTTCTTCATGTCTTTGGTGGAGGTATGAACACCTATCCAAATACACCCAATCAACATTAAAAACTATCCCGTCTCCCTCTCTTCCACCACCTCCTCTCACCCGTCCCACCAGCCCCACGTCCGGAATTCCTCCACATATTCTTCAGAGACCGGCCGTATATCGCATACAACACACTGGCTATCACACAAATCGCAATAACGCCCGTAGAAACACCCAGGCCGATCGATGCTGGTACACTAAGACCGCGGTCAGGCTCCGATGTAATTAAAGGTAGTGCGGTGGGTGATGAGGGAGTTGCATCAGACGAAGACGAAAAGGGAGTTGTCTGTAGACTGGACGATGGGTCTGGAGCAGGCGTTGTAGAATCAGATGTAGTGGGAATCACTGAAGAGGACTTGTCATCTCCGGTCTCAGTAGTCGACGTTGTCGTTCCGGCGTCAGTCGTCGAGGGTACTATAGTGGCAGGATCCGGTCTCGTGACTATGGGGAAAGTCTCCAGATCAGTTGGGGTTGTAGGTGTCGCGTTCACGGTAGTCACGATAGTAGGTGCGTCCATGGTCGTCACGATAGTAGTTGCGGGACCCATCGATATGATTATCGGAGGGTCGCCACCGGTTTTCGTGGATGCCGACATTGTCACTAACGTTGCTTGTCGGTGTTGTGATGGGCCTAGGTAGTCTCGTGGCTATGTGAAGGGGTATGATGGGGGTGAAGTGCGGTGACATGGTGGAGAATTGCGGGAGAGTAGGAGCGACAGAGTACCTAGGTTGTTAGATGCTTGCTTTGGAAACGGGATGCGACATATCGTTTGCTTGGTGGTGTGACGGGTGAGTGTGCTGGCGTGGAGTTGTTGGGGTCGCGTGGTGGTGGGTTGTTTGCTTGGTCGATATAGAGCAGATTCCTAAATGGAGTCTAGGATTAGATAGATGCGAGGAGTTCACGAAGCATGATGAGTATGTATATCTTGATGGGGGCTGAATGTATCGCAAAGCCTACTCAGGTAAGAGCCCTAGAGACAGTGGTTGGCAGCTGATATGTGTAATTTACCCCTACGCTCATTTGTATAAGTCAAATCTCATATCTCTTACAACGCGCAAATCACCTAATTAGTCGTAGTGGTAGTTCTTTTGTTTGCATCGGCCTGTTGGTGTTCGGGCAGGGCAGCGAGCTCGGTGCGGAAGTGATGAAGGTCCGACGACCGAACTCGGTCGTCACCCTACAATATCCGGACTCACTCAACGACCGTTTGTTTCAAGACTTTCCTTTTGCATATACCCCACAGCTGCAATAACGGAACTGCATCATGTCAGCCTCGGACGACCTCACGGACCTTGCGACCCCGCCAGCGTGCATTGCAGACTTTTGTCTGATCCCCCTGGGCACCCCCACAGCATCGGTGTCCAAGGAAGTCGCGGAAGTGCAGCGGCTCCTCAAGAAAAGCGGCTTGGATTATTCGATGCATTCGGCGGGGACAACAGTTGGTATGTGCCTGCACACACCCCACCTTCTGAATTCTGTACGCTCTCGCGTGCGAGCCAACCCTCTTCTCGGCCGGTATGCGGGCCTGGTGGCTTGGAAGGTGGAGGGGTATATGGAACATTCTTGAATGTGCATGCTAATTATGGTTAGAGGGCTC